CCCACAAGCACACAGCGTACAAGACCAACAAAACAATTTATTTAAATGTTCGCAGCCTGTGATCCATTGGTTTTTATGGAAAATGGCTGTAGAAAAACGCCGACTTACCACAGATTTCGACATTTTTACATCAGGTACCAAATTCTCCATATCTGGAGTTGATCAATTCATTTTATGAATTAAAACCATTTTTTCAGAAGATCGTTTAAAAAAAGATATTTGATTCAAATCTTTAATCACACATTTATCCATTTCTAAATATTATTTTTCACTTTAAATTTCTTTAATTTTTTTCTTTACTTTCACCATTTGCTAGTATAAAATTGCAATAATGACTTTGTTTTTGGTTTATTTTCAACCTCTACATAAGAGTAAGAAACTCTCATGCATTTATTTACTCTTTTACTTTGTATTTACTTTACACGGTTCAGTTTTTTTATTGAACCATTTGCCCATATAAAACGGCAACCGTGACTTTGATTGTATTTGCACGTTTTGTATGAACTTGCGGTTCAATTTAGTCGATTGAACCTCTCGTCAAATGTAAAGCGATTTTCGCTCAATAATTTCTTTTTTCTTTTGTATTTACTTTGCATAACATTGGAAGTTCACTTATTTTTTTGAACCACTTGCACGCATTTATTAAAGAGTTATAATTATTTTACGGACATATTTTGCTGGGCTTGTTTTCTCTTTTATTTTTATATTTGTTTGTATGTTTTGTGTTTATTCAATATTGAACATAATCCCAATATGAATGTTATTTCATTTGCATGCTTTTTAAGCAGCGCGGTGCAGTTTTTATTCTGAACCTTAGTATATTTTAAGAGGAATGTATTTTCTCTTTTATTAATTATAAGTAATGTTGGATGTAACTAACATATGTATGTGTGGTTGGAAAAGCTATTATAAAAAATGTTAAGTAGCAAAACAGCGAGATTATTTACCTAATAAAAAAAAGATCAAAAAAGGAAGCTTTGTTAAGGTGTTCAGTAAACACTCTGAACCATTCGACGCCTCGCCTCTGAGTATAACACACGTAGCTTCAATAGTAACTTGTGTCTATATTACAGTGGCGAAAACTATAGATGGCTTCAAACAGTAACTAACGTATTCGACCCCTGCAGGCTTTAACAGTGAACAGCGAAGGGCGTGTTACCTGTGACCTATAATACAATACACGTGCCTTTAACAGTCATGTGTCTATGTTATAACGGATCAAGTATGTAATTCGATCGATTTGATGTATTATCAAGTGGTGTTCTTAAATTCAGACTGGTGAACAGGTATAGCGCTTTCGAAAATAATTCCAATCTGTCAGTTTATTTATCAGATATAGAGAGTGCTGTGTGGAGGCCACAGATTCAAGCAATGTGAGATAAACTGGTGAGTAGCCTGAATTTAAATCTGCTTTTCCTTTTATTTCTAAATTCGGTATTTTTCGCGTTAAAATCACCACCCATGATAAATCGATGACTGTGTTTTTAAATAAGTGCTACGTATTGATCGCGATATATTTGGTGACTTGGTGGGCTGTAGGGAGCTGTCAAGCTTGCTTCTTTGTGTTTCTAAAGTTACAGATGTAGCTTGAAACACAGCAGTAGCAAGTTTTCCTTTCTCGTTATGCTTTATTGTTTTTTTTATTATTATAGCTGTACCTCCAGGTGCACAATTATTGGGATGATCTGTATGATAACCTTGAAAATTGTGTAATTTTACAAACAATAGGTTAGTAAAATGTGTTTCTGCAATTAGGCATACGTCCGCACTTTTTCAGACTAAGAGAGCCTTTAACCCCCTGTTGTGATGTAAAGTTAACAGTAGATTCTTTCTTCAAAGTAAGAATTAAGACCGTATTTTTGATTATTAATATAGTAAAGTTGAAAGTTTTGTTTAATAATAATTAATAAATGCATAGCAGTCTTTATGGGGACATTTTCTAATAACACCTAAAAGTAGGCAAAGTTATTTTACAGTTGCAATAATATTAACAAGAAGTCAAAAAGTCAGTAAGACATCCTCAAAGATATGTCAAAGTAAATAATATTTAAAAGTGGACATAAGACAAACATGATAAAAGGAAATAAAGTGGACAATATTAAGGATAATATTATAATTTGGATGAACAATTTAGTAAATAAAATATAAATTGTAATTTATATGAGAAAATAGTGATATTGTAATAATAAATTATGGTGTATAAACGAAACCATAAGTTAAGACTAAAACTTTATAAGTTATAAACAAATAATAAATTATATGAACTAATAGTATAAAGAAAATGAATGTGGAGTTTTACTATTATTATGGAACAGAGTTTTGGGGATTTGGATACTGGACATAGCATCAATAGTTGAAATATGACATTAAAAAATGTAAAATTATTGTAATAAACAACTATTTTGGATATACAACACCCCGTATGGATTTTAAGAGGCATTATTTTGATCAAGTATCTTTTCTTTCAATTTCTTTAGCTATCTGTCAAGACATAAGTAAATCTTTTCCTGAAAATTTATTTTTGTCAGGATTTGGGCTAAAAGATTCTGCTCAATTGACTGCGGTACATTTGCTTTAGCAATTTGAGAGTATGAGTGTTTGTTCGAAATTGACGCCAACCGTTTTGAATTATTTTTTCTGTTCTCTTAAAGATTAGTAGGCTTACTAATTAAAAATTCAGTGCTGTTCATGTGATTTTGAGCTATCAGCTGATTTTTAATTTACATGTTACGTGATTTTTGTAGTTCTCTTGCTACAACACAGCTGCGCTGAGGGATTAGAGATGGCCGTTATTTACAATATATTTTAGTATAGCTTTAATGTTCGGTATTTTATTTATGTCATCCTTGGGATCAAATGTTAACAGGAACATTGCACGTTTTTCATGGTCTTAGCTACTTATTTTCGAAACTGTGCCAATTTAAATTTTGCGATGATAGGGTTTTTGTGACGCTACGATAGTCATTTATGTCAATTAAGTTTATTTTTTTTTAATACCATTATTTAGTGAAGAAGTAATACAATTTAGTGAAGAATTATATTTTTGTAACATTTTCTGGCGCGGTAAGTATACTTTAGTGTTCTAAATCTTCTGTTAATATAATAGGAGGTGGACGTTTTTCCTTGTTTAAAAGATTTGACGGAGCGTCTGGGTCATTATTCTTGTTTAAATGTCGCGTATTTTTCTATGTTTTGAACATTCCCATTTTGTGGGAAGCTTTTGATCTCTTTGATCACGTGAAGAGTTAACTTCAAAGCTTTACTCTTCTTTAAGCTTTATAGCAAAGTTTTCGACTTCATTTACCTTCTTTGAAAGTTTGTTGTTCAATACGATATAATCACTTACTCGTATCCCCTTACCGATGAGAGTACTATCGGTACATTTGCAGACGACACAGCTATTTTATCAGTTGACAGTAACCCAATCAGTGCCTTCAGCAAACCACAAACCTGCCTTAACAATGTTGCTCTCTGGATGAAAAATTGGCGTATCAAACCTAATGAATCAAAATCTGTTTAGGTAACATTTACTAAAAAATTCCCGCCTGTTTTAATAAACAATACTCAATAGCTACAAGCTGTAGAAACGAAATACTTAAACATACATCTATTTAAAAAGCGTAATGCCTTGGGTCTCAAATTGCGAAACTTAATTTGGTTCCCCAGCCGAAATTTAAAATTGTCACTCGACAATAAGCTGCTTATATACAAAACTGTACTAAAACCTCAAACCTGGCAATTATCCAGCGTTTTCAACTAAAACACTACGAATGATCACAAATGCATCTATTCCTCATCAATTGAGGATGAAATATTATAAAGAATTACACTCATCGCATATATATGCAACCAAACCCGCTGGTTACACACCTGATCACTCCCTCCAACACTTTTAAAAGAAGGAGAAGAAAAATATCGAAATAGGTTTTAGCTGTGTATATGTAGATCACACCCTTCTATTTTAAGTATATATGGATATGTCAGTAGGTATAGTCCGTACGTGCCTTTCTTTTTCAGATCGTAATTACTATTATTACGATTGACAATAATATGTATTACTTATTGTCATTCATACCTAAAACATTGTAATAAAGTAAATGGATTTAAAAAAAATTAAATTAATTTTTACAGAAAAAAATTGTTGAATAATAACTATTTGTTTTTCATTTAATACAAATTGAAAATTTTCCAAAAATAAAATAATACATGAGATATTTCGTAGTTTTTTTAATTTCGTCATTTTAAATAGGTTCACTATATTATTTCACCAAGTATTCGGTGTCCAGAGTCGATGTACCGTGTTTAAAACCGTGTTTAATCGTCAACTGTTGTTAGTTTGCTTCGTTGGCCATGAAACAAACAGTATCATTGATCCCTTTTGCGTTCCTTCCTAATTGCTCCACGCAAACAGCACGTTCAAAAAAAAGACATACACTACGTTTACGCGAGTCTTAAAATCGCTTTTAAAACTGATTTTAAAATTTGTTCTTAGAGCGTTTACGCACAAGAATTAAAAGCACTTTTAAGGTAACTGTCAATCAATCAGCTGTTTAACAGCAAACATAAATGTTGATTTTAAACATTTTAAAAATGAATATGGTAAAACTACAAAGTGTTTTACTTTTATTGCAAAAAAAAGATATTATAACCAAAATTGTAGAAAATAATAATAAAGCAAAAATGCTAATTTTAAAATCATTCCGTAAAAAATTTACAAAATTACGAGAAATGCGATTGCAGCTCTTTAATAAAATGGCAATACGTTCTGTTAATGAGGCTTTAATGAATGCAAATGTTTTTATAAAGTTTTTCATAAAATATTTAGAATGCATTTTTGTTTTTAGCTTCCACCACGAATAAGAACTTTTAGCAAAAGAAAGAGAAGTTCGGAGTGGTGGGATGTTGAAGTTCTGCAGTTCTATGACGATGAATAATGGATTGCTGATTTTCGAATGAATCGACAAATATTTTTCAGGCTTGTAGATTTGCTTAAGGACAAAATGGCACCAGCAGAAAATACTTTCGTTGAAGGGTTGTCTGTTGAAAAGAAAATAGCTATTGCAGTTTACAAACTTGCCTCTTGTGCTGAATACCGTGTAATTGCAAAGGGATTTGAAGTATCAAAAAGTACTGTTTGCTTATGTGTTCACAGTTTCTGTAAAGTTTTAATTGAAAATCAAGTCGGCAAAATATTATCCTGGCCAAATGCATCAGAATGTGAACGCATAGCCTCGAGATTTGAACAAAAATTTAAACTGCCAAATATTATTGGTGTTATAGACGGCACTCATGTGCCAATTAAACCCCCACAAGACGGTGCTGCAGACTTTCGTAACAGAAAGCGTTATAGTTCCATTGCAGTGCAAGCTATTGTGGGTGATCAATATTTATTTAAAAATATCACAGCACAAAATCCTGGCTGTGCACACGATGCATCAGTGCTTAGGGGCAGTTCTCTATACAAAAACCATAATACATTAATTCCTGAAAGCCATAGGGAAATCGACGGAATTTACAACGCCTCAAATGAAGCTATGCTTTTTAAACTTCCTTATTATATTATTGGTGATGCAGCTTATCCGCTTTGTAACTGGATTATGAAAAATTATAGGGACGAGTTAACTGTTGAAGAGACATCCTTCAACTTATATTTGAATCAAGCACGAATTGTTGTGGAGCAAGCATTTGGTCGCTTGAAAGGAAGATCGAGAATACTTTATAAGAAGAGCGACCTGGATGTGTACAATATGCCGCATGTGATAATAGCGTGCGGAATTCTTTACAATTTTGTAAGCTTAATAATAAATTTAAATAATTGAAAATAATAAATTTAATATTAAATTGAAATATTTTTTCAAATAGAGAATAAAAAATAAAAAGATTTTCAAATAGAGAATAAAAAATAAATAATTTTAATTAATTTAAATTCTGCGATGCAATTAGACCTCTGATAGCACTTTCAATTGTCTCATTGCTACTACGCACCAAATTTTTATTGTGCTTACGCTGCTCTTCCTGCATTTTCGTTTCCCATTCACGCTGTTTTTCCGCTTCCTCGCTAAAGAATTTTTCCTGGCGGCTAATCATAATTTTGCATTCGCGAGACCAACTTTCTTGAAAGCTGGACAGTGCCTTTGCGTAACTTCCTCTGCCCTTCGATCGATCTAGTCGAATTTGCGTTATGGTGGTATTCGATGAAGTTCACGTTGAATGCAAGTCATCTATTCCTAACTCGCAATTCGTTTCATCTGCGTTATTCTGCGGGTTCAAAAATGCGGATGTTGAAGGCAAATCAATGTCTGAATTGTGCTCATCTACGTTGTTATTTAAATATTCTTCATTCCATTCGCCTGCAATTAAAAAAATTAAGGTTCGGTAAGAAGATATTTACTTGTATGATAAATTACCATTTAGGTGTTCAATATAAAGAGTATCGCACCCGCTAATTTCAAGAATTGATGATGGTCTTGAGTCAAGGATTTCGTACATCAATGGATGGTATTCCATGCAACTGTTACCACTACAATTGTTATGTTTTTTTATTTCAGAGTATTGTCTCTTTAATACCTGTCACTTTTGTTTTATTTGCTGTACACTTCTGTACCAGCCACTGATTTCCATTTCTTGGCGAACAATTTCATAAATTGTGTCCTTTCTATATTTTTTGCCGTCTTACAATTTAATTATTTGTTTTTCTGCAAATATTTTAATTAAGCATTCTTCCTCCTCTTTCATTCAATTTTTTCTTTTTATTTCCGTTTTCTCCATATTTTTAGTTAGTGTTATTTGTAATAAAATTCAAATTATTTGCACCTATTCACTGATAACAGCTGACAATTCAAACCTTAAACTGCTTTTAAGGTATTTACGCAAAGCGTAAAAGTAACATTTCTTACTAAAAGTGATGTTAAACTACTTTTAGTAAGCTAAAAGTGCTTTTAAGCAAAATTCAATTTAGGATGTTTACGCGATCTTAAAATCGATTTTAAGAGCCTTAAAACAACTTTTAAGGCTCGCGTAAACGTAGTGATAGATTACTTTATTGACTCTGTACGGTTTCATGACGAAAGGAACTAAAACATTGCATATGTGTTATTAAAATTACTGAGATTACTAATTTTTTAAATAGTTAAAAATTAATGAAACAAATATTTTAATTTATTTATACGAAGGAAAATCCCAATGGTATCCTTAACTAATTTTGCATCAAGTGTGTTGAGTATTCAATTTTAGTGTCACAACATACTCAATCAACTTTCTCAATCGGTGGGCGTGGCTTAAAATGTTTGAAATAATTTTTTATTAAAACCCTTAACAAAAGTAGATTAAGATAAGTAAATTATTTTTCTATTATGAGTTTTTATTTCACCTTAATTGAAAAAGTTTACAATTATTTCTAAGTTTTGATATCTTCTGATCATAAATTTTCTCATATGAATGCTTTTAAGAAAGTAATTGTTTATATTTATGTTTAGGAATAGCAAATACATGATGATAGGTTATCTTGCACAGCATCTGAAAAAGCAAAAAAAAAACATTGTCTAATTAACCAATTCAATGAAATTTGTTAAACTGTGTTAAGTAAAATAGTAATTCGAAATAAATAGATATTAATGTCTTTAACAGTCTACATATTTTTCCAATTATAATATAGTGGTCGCTTAGAAATTAAACATTTTAGATAATAAAATGTCGTAAAATTATTATCTGTTTTTGTCCCGCATTGAACTACTCGTAGAACTTCTTTTAGAACTATTTCTAGTCCTCTGCCCGTACGTTACACTATTCTCGTTGTGACTTAATATATAAATAATTTATTGAAATGGTGCAAAAGAAATAAGTTGTTTTCCCTTAACAACATGACCAATCTTACAGCCCTACATTTTAGTCGGATTGCGAAAAAAAAAACTACATTAACAACTTGAACTTACGGCATCGATATTGACAAGATTGTATGAAATTGTATTAGGATTAAGATTGTATTATCTTCGACAACCAGTTTGGCGGTGAAATTTCGGAGCCATAGTATAGAAGCAAACAGTTATAAGATTACATAAAATAAATTGAAACAAATCAGCAACTCTTGGCATCAAACATTCTACAAGAAAATCGTATCGACAAAATACATTTCATAATCAAAACTAAAGTTTTCCAGTTCGTGAATAATTAGTGCACAATATAGGGACAGTACAGACTGATACCTTGGACAACCAGTCTGGCTAACCAAGATAACCAGGTTTGCTAAAAAAATTCAGGTACAAGGGGTGTTTAGTGTGTAAAAAACTGCAAGCGTCTACTTTTCCAACACTTAGAAAAAAATTTCTTAAACCTAATGCTGAAATTGCACCCTCATCAGCATCAATCAGCATCAAGAGCAACTCGAAATACAGCAAACTTTCGCTTAAGCTGCACGCGCTCAACCAGGTCAAACTATTCCAAATACCTCTCAGCAAACTTACGCTCAAGTTGCTGCCAGCCAAATAAATCAAGTTTCTTCCAATAAAAATAATATACACAGTAATATATTGATGAGTGAAATGAAAGAAATGATGAAACTAATGCGGGAAGTAATGAATCAAATAACTATCATGACAAATCTTTTAGTAAGACTTGTTTCTAAACAAACCTTATGCCCATAAAGCTCGTCCTATGGAATGCCAATGGGTTGTCAAAACATTCTTCTGAACTGAGATTATTTCTATCAAAAAACAACGTAGATGTACTATTAGTTTCAGAAACTCATTTCACAAAAAAAAATTTTTTTAAAATTCCATCCTATTGTTTTTATCAGTCTCCGTATCCGGACGGAAAAGCTCATGGAGGCTCCGCAGTATTAATTCAGAGAACACTTAAACATTATGAAATGTTTAAGTACATTATGAAATGTGTAGTACTCACTACAGCACTGATGAAATCCAAGCCACAAATATTATGATTGAGGACTCAGTCGGACCAATTCTTATATCTGCCATATATAGCCCACCAAAACATAATGTAAAGAAAGAAATCTTCACAAAATTTTTTTCAACACAAGGGAATCGATTTATAACTGGTGGTGACTTCAATGCGAAAAATATATTCTGGGGATCCCGACTAACCACAACAAAGGGACGTGAATTATACAAAGCAGTGAGACCCTTGAAACTTAAAGTTTTTTCGGCGGGAGAGCCCTTATACTGGCTATAGAAACAGTAAAAATTGCCGATCCTATAGTTTTCTGCGTAACCAAAGGCTTCCTCTATGAACATGTGTAGCGTAAGAAGCAGCTCAGAGTTATCATCGGACCATTCACCAGTAATTGTCGTAATAGATGAAACCTTAGAAACAAGATCCAAAAATGTCAATTATACAATATGCAAACAAATTGGACTATATTTAAAACAATATTGTTATCATCTCTAAACTATCTAAAGCGAAGAAGAAATAATTGAAGCGACTGAATACCTAACAAGATCTATTCAGGAAGAAGCATGGGAAACTACTCCTACTCCAAAAGTCTATATAAAGAATCTAGTAATGTGTACTGGGGAGATCAAAAAAAAATTAAAGGATAAACGGAATGATAAAAAATATGGCATCGTAACAGATTTCCTGAAGACAAAACTCTGCTGAAACGACAGACGGAACAAAATACGCAGCAGTTCTTACATAGGTTCGACACGTCTCACTTATCTCACTATTCTCTATGGAAAGCAAATAAAAAAGTAAATAATACAATAGGTTATCGACCCCCACTTAAAAAAACCAATAATACTTGACCGAAAAAACTATCTGAAAAACATCAACTTTTAGCAAGCCATCTAAAAAACTTTTTTACTCCACTTGATATGACTGCCGATCCAGTAAAAAAATCTCAATATTTTCAAATTTTTGAAGGAAACTTACTAAATGGAGTTACCAATCAGAAAATTTTCTGAATTTAAACAACGAGAAATAATTAAATCTCTTTAAAATCAAAAGGCACCTGGTTATGACCTCATAACTGCTGAAATCCTTAAAAAACTTTCAGATGTTATTTAAGTTGCTGAAATAAAGATGATACTAAAACTAGGAAAACCTGCTAAAGATGTAAAATCCTATCGTCCAGTAAGCCTCCTTCCCATTCTTTCAAAAGTTCTTGAGATACTATTTTTAAAACGTCTTATGTCGATAATTGAGTCGAAACGAAAAATACCGAATCACCAGTATGGATTCATAAGAAAACACTCAACCATTGAGCAAATTTATAGAATTGTTGAAAAAATACAGGCCACTTGTTGTGTATCTAGTTTAACTAGATACCCTAGAGTTTTAATTAACAATTTGTTACGAACCTTTTTCTTGGTACGTAATGCAAATTGTTAATATGATCAATTTTCATATTTAACAATTTCTGCATACAACACGAAAATGTTTTAATTTCCAAATATTATTGAGTACAATCAGTGAACTCAATAATATTCTTTATACAGAATTGTGTGTTTCTAAATATTGGCAGTTACTAACAGGTAACTAGGTCAATATTTTACCTTCTATTTTCTGCAGAACCGCAGAAATAAATATAAACACAATGATAACTAAACGCAGATTGTTCCTAAGTAAATAATTATACTTATGTTGTGAAGGTATTCAGTTTAGTTATCTTAAATAATAAATATAAATATAACGATAAGTAAACTTAGATAATCCTAAGTAAATAATTATAATTTATGTGAGTCTATTATCCCGATTTGCTGTGTCAAATCGTTGTTACAAAAGAACGAATAAAACTAGATTTAAATTAGTCTTAAGATTCAAGTGAAGAATAAAGGTTCACAGCTTATGTTGTGCAATTTACTAAAAATTAAATTTTGTGTTAACTAAATAGCAAAATATAACTCGTGCGCACTCTCTCCCGTTGAGTTAAGTTAATTTAATTTAAAGAAACAATTACAAAAATAACAACAAAGTAAAAAGTCATAGAAAAGTAAGAAGAAATCACAGCAAAGAAAGTAGAACAATAAAAAGTGAAATTGAGTCCATCAACAACAACACTATCAACAGCAACAACAATATCAACAACAACACTATCAGCAGCAATAACAACATCGACAACTGTAACATTACCAACAGCAACAACAATATTAACAACAGCAACATTATCAACAGCATCAACAACATCAACAACAGCAACAACATCCACACAGTAACATTATCAACAGAAACAACAACAGCAGCAGCAGCAATATCAGCAGGTATTTCCGCAACAGCGAAAGCAACTGCACCTGCAGCGGTATAGCAACAACACAATATTGTTTTTTTTTAAAGAATAAATAAATAAAGTCGTTGAGTCTAAACTAAAAGGGTATATTATTTTTGGGTAGTCTGAAGTGGAGACGCAACACCACTTCCACAGAAAAACACAACACACTTTCGAGTGAAAAGAATACTGCTCGGCAGCGTTTTTGGACATATCTTAGCCGTTTGATCGAGTATGGCACCAAGGACTTATTTTCAAATATAAAAAGCTTCTGCCACTTAACTATTATGCGTTCATAAAATCGTATCTATTGCAAAAAGATTCTTTTATGTCAACAATGAGAATGAAATGTCTTCTCTTCATAATATTAGAGCTGGAGTACCACAAGGCAGTGTACTCGGTCCAACCCTTTATCTGCTTTTCACATACGATTTACCGAAGACGGTAGGAATTGTAACCGGTACATTTGCAGATGATACAGCTATCCTGGCGAGTGCAAACGATCTCTCTATAGCCTCTTTCAAACTACAAGCTGGTCTTGATTTTATATCACAATGGTTGTAGCATTGGCGCATGAAAGCAAATGAAACAAAGTCTACTCATGTAGAGTAGAAAAGACACCTGCCTGGAAATTAAACTTAATAATATAATAAATCTACAATCAAACAGCGCTAAATATCTGGGCATGCACTTGGATAGACGTCTGACATAGAAAACACACATTTTTAACAAAAGAAAATCCCTTGGGATTCAATACCGTAAAATATTTTGGGTACTGAATACAAAATCTTCAGTATCTCTAAAAAATAAACTTATTTTATACAAAACTGTGCTTAAACCAGTATGGACCTATGGCATTTAACTATGGGGAACAGCCTCAACATCTAACATAGAAATTCTTCAAAGATTTTAGTCTAAAACTTTACGAGAAATGGTAAACCTTCCATGGTATGTAACTAACATTCAAATCCATCGGGACCTTAGCATAATCCCGGTAAGAGACGAAGTAAAAAAGGTGGCTAGAAAATACCATGAACGAATACAAATTCATTCCAACATCCTTCCTTCGAATTTAAGGTCCCCCTCAGAAATTTTTACGAGACTGAAAAGGAAAACGTCGCTTTAGATATTATAATAAAAATCTTAATTTAAAAAGATAAAGGTAGTTCTCCACAAAGAAAACTACCTTAATTGTAAATTATCATGACTTAAATAGTGTTTATTAAAATCTAAAATTTAAACCACATTTATGTCAGGTCCGTGTCTCGGGCACGGCAAAATAGGCTTATGACGCATG